CAATTGAACCTTGTACGCATGCAAGTGCAGATCTTTTACCAAAATTCGTTGCATAGTGCCTCTGGAAATGTTTAATTCTTGACCACGATGCCGAATGGAAGTTCCCGGATTCTCGGTCACAGATTCCCTTACTGCGGCTATATTTTCGAGTGACCGACAAGGACGACGACGTACAATGGTCTTCTGATCCATCAGCGTAAATTTGGTCTCAAATTTTGTAATTAAACGCTCACTGTCGATTCATTTGGCGCATCATGACGACCGAAAATTTGACGTAAATGGCGAACTGTTTTCGCAAAACTTTCACCATTTTTGTAATGTGTTTTTACAATAATTAAACGTTGTTCATTTGAATACTTCTCCATATTCTTAAATCGCGCGGTCTGTAGGTGACATCTGTCAAAAAAAATTGACAGTGCAACTCGTATTAACAAAATGGCGGCAAATTTAAATCCGGCGCTCTTGATGGGACACCCTTTAGAAAGTAAAGTGACTAAATACCTAATGCAATGATTTTATTTTATTTTTTTTTAAACTTGTTCGAGGACAATCACAAATTGTGTTAGATAAATACAAATTAATTTGTTAAGTAAGTACATACAGGTATAGACAAAGTCTATGTAAATATCGAAACCGTGATACAGATTTATACAAAGAATCTGCACTGAAGAGCTCACAGACAAAGTTGTGTTGATGATAAATGATTTGATTTGGGAAAAATCAAATGGCATGTAGACAAAGTCTATTTTTAGTTGAAATAATACTTGGCTATTATTGTGAATGAAGGTACCTAGACAAAGTCTATGTATTATTTAAATAAATAGGTAATTGGCTATTATATTATTATGAATAATGAAAGCCGGTATTTTTTAGGCAATATTATTTAAATTAAATAAACTGACCACAGATATTATCAATATTTAAATTATGATAAGGAATAAGTTCAGAAAGGACTCACAGAGATCCGGTATCCAAATCTTGTAGTAGCTTGTTAGTTCATCGTGTTGCAATCCATAGGAGTAGACGCCATTAATTTAGCCGGTTCGAAGATGACCATGTCGGATATCGTTTTTTAGGTTGTAAACCACAATATGTAAATAAAAAAACGAAGGACCAATTGAATTTATAGGTAAAGAACACTAAGAACATTTATTGAACTACGTACAATTTGTAAATTAACAATTTTAGTTGTCAAAGACAACAGACAATGCTTCATGAAATTCAAAATTATAATAATTAAAAAAAATGTCGTTGACAGAGACGAAGCACACAAACGAAAGCACGACACATGGCGATTCAGTCCGATTCGAGGCTGACACAAGCGCCGCGCACCGAACAGTTACATCAACGATGGCGCGAGAGTTTAAAAAAGTTCAGGACCGTCTTTGAGTCATTTGAAACCGAACATTCCTCTCCTATAGTATGAGCCTTTCCACATTTAGCAATCAATTCTGAAACTTGAAATGAAGCTCTTAACGCATTTTTTTTATACCAGCATCAGCTACCATATTATTAGCGATTGTTTGTGTAGTTTGAAGATGTTTTTGTTTGAGTATAAAAAAATCAATTGGTTTATTTATGTGTTCTTTATGTTTCGTTTTCAAATGGTGCCTCAATTTTGATGGTTTCAAAGCTTCATTTGATAGTACCTCAAAACAGATTACACATTGGGGTTTTGAATTATTGACTGGCCCAATAACTGAAAATCCATGTGACAAAAAATCATCTGAATATTTTCTAACTCTTTTTGCAGTACTTTCTTCCTTTACCTCTGAGATTTTGTTTCTGATTTGAACATGAAGGATCTATCTGAAATACAACATGAACATGTATTCTTTCAATTTTTAATTCGTGAAAAATCGAGATTTTCAAATGTCAAGACGAAAGTGCCCAAAATATTACTAAGGAAAGCTTAATCAAGTTTATTATAAAATATTCCGTGTTTAGTTTCAATTTTCTCCAAACCAGCGATAGGTATTGGAAAACTGTATTAAGCTTTATGTAATACATTTTTTTGAAATTTTGTCCAATTTACATTATACATAATTTGTAGTTAAACTGGATTGCAAACTTAGTTCTATTATTAGAAAAACATTAAGAAAAGTGTAATTATTTAACTTTTCTTACACTTATTACACTGAAATACATAAAAATTTTGGTATGCATTTTGGCCGCCTAAATCAGTCAGTTACCCCCCTATGCGACGCACATTTATTATTATTTTCTATATAAGTGGCCAAAACTATTTTCTATTTTTTGCGTAATTAAGTATTATGTTTCAACGCCCTGTTTTCGGTATATTCATGACACACTGATATTCATAAAATCTTAAAAATTGTACTAAGTTTTCGTCACAATATTAACAACTAAAACCACTTTGGAAGATTATTTATTACAACAATATTGAAATGAAATTATTTTAATGCGTATGCATCAGCAGTCAATACTAGTCTGCAGTTTGTAGTGGGTGACACGCAGGTTATGCATCTCTCCAAAGATGACTAATGCTTTCGGAGAAGTAAGTATAATGGTAGCAGAGGTGGCTCGTGGTTAAAATATTTGAAAGTTGCGGTAGCAGTGGTGGCTCGTGGTTAAAATGTTTGAAAGTTGCAAAATATAGACATAATAATATTTTAACAAGGCTTCGCGGCCCCTGACGGGGCCGCGGCCCATGTGTTGAGAAGCGCTCTATTATAATGTTAAAATAAATAATCAATGAAACCCGTAATAATTAATTACCGAGTTGCCAAAAAGCACTAGGTATATAGCCTGTCACTGTGAAGCTGTTACAGATATGTCTTATAATGTGGAAGATTCCATTTTAACGAGTTCGTCTTTGATAAATTTAACTAAACCGAATAGGAGTCATCAAAAACATAAATTGTAATATATATTACAATTTATCTTTGTGATATATAGGTATTATATCTGCACCCACAACTGTGGTTTTTAGTACAAACAATCTATCTTCAATATTTTAAAAAAACTTAATAAATTTATAATATTTATGATCCGCTACGCTATAAACGTAGGTACTGTGATACAGCTATTAGACATTTTTCTGAAGAATCGAATTTTCCGAGTTTTAAGTCTGAATAATCTGTTTTTTCAAGTTTTAAGTCGGAAAAATCGATTTTTCTGAGTTCTAAGTTGGAATTAGCTATTTATGTATTAAGAGCGAAAAATTATACTGCGCTGATTGAGACAGAAACTTGGCCGCGCGACGCGTAACGGACGGCAACGAACTTTTCGCTCAAAATGCACACAAGATTTTCTCTATGATTACATTATTTTAAGAAATAGATATAAAAACTGAAAATTTATCGTAAATAGTGTATTATGTGTTACCTATGTCTACGTTAATCAAGAAAAACGGAGTTGATATTCAAAGTCAATGTTAACTTGGATAATAAAACAAAAAACATCAAACTACGTAAAAATAACTTGCAAAAAATTTTCAGTCAAGTTGATGTTTGTGAAATATAAAATGAGTTAATTATATAGATTTTAAAATAAAGTTGTTTTATATAACCCTGGGTCGTTTCAATATAATATAATATAATAATGTTTTTAATAAATGATTTTCAAGTTATTTGTACGTAGTTTGATGTTTTATTATGCAAATTAACATTGATTAACTTACATATACCCAGACAACACACCAAATCCCAGAGATATCCACAGAATATCTTTTGTGGATATCCAACATATCCACTGGTTATCAGAATTATTCCGTGGATCCAATATGGATATCCAAATGTCCGTCCATATCCAGAATATAGAAGATATCATATGGATATCCAGCAAAATATCTAATGAGTATCTTCCAGACAATACAAGAAATCCCAGAGATATCCACAGAATATATTCTGTGGATATCCAATATATCCAATATGGATATCCAACCAAATGTCCGTCTATATCCCAGGATATAGAAGAATTCGGATATCCAGCAAAATATAATATTTTATAGGTATCTTTAGTAGAAGAGGTTCATAAGTAACCAATGATTATTGAATAAAGTCGAAAGAAAATAGCAGAGATAAAAAATATTTTCAACACTCTGCCTTTGATTTTGCCCACTAAGGAGAAAGTTATCCTTATTAGGACTCTTCAGCAATAAATGGAAATTCTCGACTCGTCTCTAATGGAGTCTGATTGTGAAAAAAATTTTGATCGAACTCAATTACGGCGGGTTGAGCATGAGTAGATGCGTAAGTAGTATCGCTATCTATACTTAGTTAGCAAAATAAAAAATTACATCTAGTGGATATCCACGATGGTTTGCGTTCGCGCCTAGACTTTGATATATTTAGTGGATGTCCATGGGATATTGAATACACCTTAAAAAAATTAATTTTAAATATCTGAACGATACTATTAGCCACAATGGCAAGCACAATGGCGTAATTTTTTAATAATTTGCTATATAATTACTATTATTTATGGACATTTGCATGTCTATAAATTACAGCTCATGGATATAAAATAGATATCCACTATGGACTGGGCATTCAGTGGATATTGGGATGTTCAGTAGATATCCAAAGGATTTGGTGTACTGTCTGGGTAGGCAACACATTTTACATTACTTATAACAAATTTTCAGTTTTTATATCTATTTCTTAAAATAATGTGATCGTAGAAAAAATCTTGTGTGCATTTTGAGTGAAAAGTTCGTTGCAGCTTTTCAACAGAATGCCGCGCTCCGCTACGCTTCGCGCGGCCATTTTCTGTCTCAAGCGACAAAGTATCACTTTTCGCTCCTAATACACAAATAGCTATTTTCGAGTTCTAAGTCAGAAAAATTAATTTTTGCGAGTTCTAAGTTGAAAAAATAAAAAAAATATTTTGTGGCCCTTCTATGTTTGTGTATAAAAATATTTTCTATCCTAAAAATATATTTTGTATAGACAGGTGTTAAAATGAAATTATCGACGGATAAATCATAACTTTAATTACTTTTTTGCAGCAAAGAAATTTGCAAAAGCGATTTATTAATGTGCCCAAGATGTCATTTTTCGAAATGCAAATTTGAAGTTCTTCGATCTACGTGTACAATGTCAAATATTGCGTATGTGTTTGATAATTTTGCGACGTATATGTTTGCTATCTTTATCTCCATATGGTGTAAGTATACCTACTATTTTAGAATAGCTCCATAGAGATAAGCCTAAACCAGAATGAAAATAAACTGTGCTCATTTTTCTATTTTATAAAAGGAATGAGATAAATGAATAAAAATATCTCGGTTAAATTATGATAGCTTCAACTATTTATTTTAGAAACACTGTGTTTAGTTTTTAAAATATATAAAAATGTAGTGGCGGCCGGTACATAATTGCTGAAAGATGCAGAACTGCCAAAAAATGTAGATGAGATATATTTTACAGAAAGTATTTTAGACATACTAAAATATACCTTACAGCTGTTTATGTAACAAGTTACGAAATGCCTTTTTTTATGCAACGAGTGAATATGCAATATTTTTTCTAATTTTGACCAAAATTTGAATAAAATTATGTTTTGGTTAAACACAACTGACATTTCGGCAACCAATATTACTTTATTGTATTGTTAGTTACATATGTATCATTTTATTGACAATTAGAACCACAATTAGAACATCATTATTAATTATTTATTCTCAACGACTTGCAGTGTGTTTATATTGTTTATTAAAATTATTTATTTTAAAAAAAGATGGGTAATTTTGACGTGTATTGTGTTTTAATTATTTTGTGCTGATTTGGACTGGAGAATAAAAACCAAAACAACATTATTACTAGGTTGTAAGTTTAATCAAATTCTATTTTTTTCCACATGTCCATATGCCCTTCTTTGATGTAAACTTTCAATAATAATGTATATTATTGATTTTAAATTCCAAAAAGGTTTATTTTAATTTCTTTTCTTTTCGCAACTGGTGTCGCAATGAATTTTTCGGAACCAGTTTCATAATATTCAACATGATGCAACTGATTGCGATTACAAAAAATGCCACTTTTACGTCAAAATTAGAAAAATGTATTTGTAATTTTTGAGAAGATGAAAATGAATAATCTCCCTTATGAAATTATGAAAAATTCACACCCATATCCCTAAATATATTCGAGCAAAATTGTAATTTAAATAAATATTTTAATTCGTAGAAATATAGTTAATCATCGAACAGTAATATAGATTGAAAAAAAATTCATTATAACCTAATGAATATTACACTACTTGTTGTTATTACTAATATAAAAGAAATACACAATTTCATTTTCCAATACTCATTTTTAGCTACAGTTTTTACGGAATTGTGGCAAAGAAGAGAATCTATTTTAAGATTACAATGGAATCTAAGAGATGTAGAACACGAGACCACAACCAGGTATGGTTGTTATTTTTTTCGCTTATATGTAGCATTACAAACATAAATCTATACTATAGATATAAATCTGGGCAATAATATAGTTATATCCACAGGAATCAGGTTCCATGTAAATAGTTGGTAACAAGTTTGCTTGACCTCAACAGTAGCGCGTTAAGTGCTTACGGTTGAACTACACCTGTCGGTTTTAATCGATAAAATAGAACACTACTAAGTAAAGCGATTTAAAAAGTGGCGGGCTTCATAATTTAGATATTTTAAGCAATTTGAAGTAACATTTTCATATTTAACAACTTTCACTTACAACTACAAAATAAACAATAAGTTTAGTGAATTTTTGTTGTAGGTAAAAATTTAAAAAATGGTAAATGTCACTAGTTTTAACTGAAAAATAAAATTAGGTGAAAAATGAAATACATTTTTAACAAGTTTAATTTATTTAGAATTACTATGTAATTACATGTGTCTCATTATCTTCTAACTGCATATTCTGAACCTAACATAAGCACTATATTACACACTAAATTTTTGAAAAATAATAATATAATATAACAGCACATGACAATATTTTTGTAATTAAAAAAACCGGATATAGTTTCAATAAAAAGTCAAAGTAATTAATTTATAAACACAATTGTTTTAAATATCCCTAGTAATGACTTATTAATCCAAGGACAAATCATTCTACATAATTATAATATTCTTATACTTATTATCCCTTTACAGCCTTTACCCATCTATTTCAATCTAGAGTAGTTGTAATGTCTATTTCGGGTAAAATAAGCCTCCAGCTTCAGTACAGGTGGACTTTGAAACATGCCCTAATTCAGATAGATATTTATGCACATTCCAAAAATCTCCATACCCAGGAATATTTAAAACAAAATAAAAATTAAGGCGCAGTGTGTATCTTAAAATTAAAAACTAACGTGAGTTATAACTATTTTAAATTCTTACATATATATTTTCTTGCAATAAAAAGTATAAAAATTTCAATAAAAATAGAAAACATCTGATTTATGATCTTAATGAACCATGCAAAAATTAACAAGTTGACATAAATATATTAGTTTTTGAATATATTTGAGTAGGTATTATTTGATAAATATAATAATGAATATTACCCAAAAATTGAACAATAACTTTTTGAGCACAATTCATTCGCCTTTTTTCATTATTGTCTTTATGAGTAAAACTATGATGAGGTTCTATCTCGGGTTTTACAATATCTGTAAATTGGCTTCACACATTGCGTTCACAACTCCTTTCATTTTTTTGACCACAAATATTTAAAATGTTGATCCGTTTATCTCTAAGAACCTCACATTTTTAAGAACCTCACTATAGTTATAAATTAGTTAAATCTAACTTACACTAAATTAATACAATTTACTCACCTACATTTGAAAAAAGATATCACCTACATTTGAAAATAAAAATAACTGTCAGACAGACATATTAGTCGTTTTCTTTTTACAGGTTAAACATTTAATAGTGGGTATTAAATTTTTTAATACTATATGAGACAGATAAACTGATTAATAGCAGCTATTAAACTTTTGTTCTTGGGTCAGTGTTGCTGTCACAAGCAACTAATAAAAAACTTTGCTTAACGTTAGTAAATAATTTAATAATTGGTATTATACAGTTTAATAGAAAAACTAAATACTTTAATAGTCATTATTAAACAGCGTAATGATAGGTATTGAACAGCGTTTATTTAACACTGTTATTAAATGGTTTAATGATGGACATTTGCAAAATTTAATATTCTCTATTAAACTACTTTAATTGTGGTTATTAAATAGGTTTATAGAGTTCGACCAAACCCCTCCAAATAAATTGGCAATTTTCTCTTATAGGAAATATAGCCATATGTAAACTTTTGATAGTATACCGCACTCTTAAAGTAAATACGTTTCATAGATTAAATCTGTGTTACTCTAGAGCTTTTCAAACATTTTATTCAGTTTTATGAAAAAACATCACTAAAACTATTTTTTTAACGATTTTTTACCATTTTTTTAGAAAATAAACCAATCAAATTTTAGAGGATTACACATTATAAAGCTTTATATAATAAACTTTAAAACTGAAGTACTACCAAAAATTTGCATACAGATACAGGGTGTCCCGAAATTAGACGGTAATATTTTAACAGCGTAATCTACAGCCTAAAATAGGAATAAAAGTTCATATAAACATAGGTCCAAAAAAGTTTCGTTTTCGAGATACAGGGTGTTACAAGTGAAGTCCAGATGGCATATTTTTGTAAATATTTTTTAAAATTTCTTTAGTCACCAATTTTTCCAAAGTAAAAAAATAAATAAAATTTCTGATTTCACAGGCCTACTAATTATTGTTTACACTTTTGAGTAACTTATCATGAAATTTTCAAATGCATTTTTCTTGAAAATGGTGCGTCCTAGCGAGATGCAACAATAGTAACTTTATTACGAAGAAAACATTGGTTTTCCAAATTTTATAGTCAAAAATGGTAAAAACTGTCAACAAAAAAAACAGGGCAATTTTACCCTAAGCCCCACCTAATTTACCCACCTATGAAGATGATCAAAAACTGGGGCTTAGTCCATTAGATAGAGCGTAAAAAGGTTAGCATTTGTACCAAATTTTACTTAGTTATCTTTAAACGTTTAGAAAATATTTACAAAAGAGTCTCATCAGGACTTTACTTTTAACACCCTGTATCTCGGAAAAGAAATATTTTCGGACCTATGTTTATATGAACTTTTACTTCCATTTTAGGATGTAGATTATGCTGTTAAAACATGACCGTCTAATTTCGGGACACCCTTTATATTTCAAACAACTGACTAATTACAGCAGCTTCAGTTTAATAGATTTCTAGCAACCTTCGTGTAATTATTGGTATTAACCGAAAATAAGGTAATTTATTAGTGGTTATCAAATTTTTTCTATTACACATGTTTAATAAACCTCGTTTTCTCGGTGCTTGATTAACTAAAAGTTAGATTCTGATATAAGCTAAGTTGTAAAAAGAACGCGAATTTTGGTTGGTTGATCCGTTTAAAAACAATCGACATTTTATTAAAATTTAAAATTTCTTCAACAACACTACGAACTTACTCCCTGTTATCATAGTCTTTTAATCTCTCTAAAATAATAAATTCATAGGATATGTCTGTTCGTATAATACACAGAACACTCACTTTCTGTTATGGTTCATGGTTGACGTCAAGATTCGTGTACTTTAGCAACGGTAATGGGGGAAGAAAGATTCTGACTTACAATCACAAAAAGAACGTACAACTAAGGATAGTCGATGTAAGTAAGCTCAGATTAGTGGTAAAAAGAAAACAAATGTTTATTGTAACATAACCTAATTTATTTTTAAAGCCAGATTTCATAATATTTAAATTTAGCATTAACTTTACATTTATTAACGATTATCAGTAAAATTATTGATTTCTGTCATTATTTTTAAAAACATATTTTTTTATGGCTGTAAAACGGGTTTGAATTAAGTGATAACCTAACCTAACCTAACCTAACCTAACCTAACCTAACCTAACCTAACCTAACCTAACCTAACCTAACCCAACCTAACCTAACCTAACCTAACCTGCAACTGGTAGTGCCGGGCGCTACTCCGACTAAAACCCCTCGTTCACCTTTATGGTGTCCTTGATCCATCCTGGAACCGCCTATCGGCATAACATCAGGATGGGGACTGTGAATGATTATCCTCCTTCTATCTCCTTATAGTCTCTCTCTTCTCCCTCTTTTTTTGGACCTAACCTAACCTAACCTAACCTAACCTAACCTAACCTAACCTAACCTAACCTAACCTAACCTAACCTAACCTAACCTAACCTAACCTAACCTAACCTAACCTAACCTAACCTAACCTAACCTAACCTAACCTAACCTAACCTAACCTAACCTAACCTAACCTAACCTAACCTAACCTAACCTAACCTAACCTAACCTAACCTAACCTAACCTAACCTAACCTAACCTAACCTAACCTAACCTAACCTAACCTAACCTAACCTAACCTAACCTAACCTAACCTAACCTAACCTAACCTAACCTAACCTAACCTAACCTAACCTAACCTAACCTAACCTAACCTAACCTAACCTAACCTAACCTAACCTAACCTAACCTAACCTAACCTAACCTAACCTAACCTAACCTAACCTAACCTAACCTAACCTAACCTAACCTAACCTAACCTAACCTAACCTAACCTAACCTAACCTAACCTAACCTAACCTAACCTAACCTAACCTAACCTAACCTAACCTTTTTTTTTGAGGGGAAAATGCTTTTACGCACACCCTGCTCGATCTTAGGCAGGGTAGTGTGGGACTCTGGCTTCTAATACCCACTAAAAACCCCTCATTTCCGAAGACACCATGGTAACATCCTTAAAGGATATATCGTCGTGGTGTCTTGGAACCTTTCTATTGGTTTATGTCTTCCTCCTCTCTCCTAGCCCTTTCTGTTCTTTCTATATCCTCCTCCTCTTTTGTCTTCATTATTTTGTCAATGTATTCTTCTACTATATCCCACTTTTCCTTGCTTTCCAGCATTTTGTCTATCATAGTGTTCTGTTCTACTATGTTCCCCACTTTGTTTTGGACCTCTCTTCATTCCTTATTCCATCTCCTACATTCAAACATTGTATGCTCCGGTGTGTCTACCTCCTCGCAATATGTGCACACCCCATTTTCAGTCTTTTGTATTTTTTGTGTGTAGGTGCCGAAGGTGCCGTGTCCTGTTAAGGCTTGTGTAAGGAAGTAACTTGTGTTTCTGTGGTTGCATTTCATCCATCTGTTTATATCCGGAATCAACTTCCTTGTCCATTTCCCCTTGTCAGTGTTCTCCCATTCTTCCTGCCACCTGTCTAGTGTCTTTTGTCTTAATTTTGTCCTTTCCGATTCCTTTTTTTTTGTTCTTCCCCTAATTCGTACATTTCTTTTCTTTCTAACGCTAGGAGATGTATTGGTGGTATTCCTGCCACCACTTGTGTGGCTTCTGTAGAAACTGTTTTGTAAGCACTTATCACTCTGATTAGGACCTTTCTTTGTGTTTTAAGTAGCATTTCCTTATACTTTTTAATTTTTGTTGTTTCATACCATACTGGTGCTGCATACAGTAATATTGATTGTACTACCTCGTACAGTACCCTTCTCTTTTGGTAAACTGGACCTCCAATGTTCGGCATTATCTTTGCCAAGGATGCCAGTTTTTTCTCTGCCTTCTCGGTGGTTTGGGATATGTGTTCCCCATAGTAGCCGTATTGACTGAGATGTACCCCTAAGTATTTTAAATGTTTATTTGGTCGTATATGTACTCCTCCTAGTTCTATTACCACATCATCTCTTTTTGGTTTTCCTTTTAGGATGATTGCCTCCGTCTTATGTGTTGCTAATTGCAGGTTATTTGCCTCCATCCATTGACGGATTTGTTCCAGTGCTCTGTTTGTCTTGTCCATCAGGTTCCTTTTACTGTTAGCTTGGGTCATAATGACGAGGTCATCCGCAAAAGCGATTCTCCATACGTCCTCCTCCATATCTATCCTCAGTACATCATCATAGAGAATGTTCCAGAGTGTCGGTCCTAGCACCGACCCCTGCGGAACACCTTGTTTTGCATTTATATCGTCCCTATTTGTATAATATATTTTTCTGTCTGATAAGTAGCTGTCCACTATATTGATTAGATATCTCGATATTTTCTTTTTTTCCATTGCCGCAATGATCTTACTCCATCTCGCCGTATTGAACGCGTTTTTGATATCTAATGTTACTAACAATACCCAAACTGCTCTGGTCCCCTTTACATGATCTCTTATTTTGTTAAGGGCTTGTATTGTAGATTTCCCCTTCGTAAATCCATATTGATCCTGTGAGATCCCCCTTTTGTTTTTTAGCTCTTCTGCTATTCTGTCCCTGATCATTGCCTCATAGACCTTCCCCAGCCCGTCCAGCATACATATCGGTCTATATGATGCACTCTCCTCCACCGGTTTTCCTTTCTTGATTATGAGGACGACCTTAGCAGCCTTCCATTTTTCTGGGAACTCCTGTTTTTTTAATGACTCATTTAAAACTCTTAGCACCTCTTCCGGGATCTCCTGTAATATTATTTTAACCGCCTCAGACGGTACTCCATCCATCCCAGGTGCCTTACCGCTTTTTATTTTCCTCTCTACCTCCCTCAGCTCCTCTCCTGTGAAAGGTACAATGCTCTCCTCGTTTTCCCTTTCTCTCCTTGCCCTAAAGTCGTCTGTGCTTGGGAACAAGTCTTCTGCTATTTTTTTTTGTGTTTTTGGTAGACTATACGGCACTTTACCTGCATTCAGACTTCTCATTGCAATGTGGTATCCTTGTCCCCAGACGTCCTCCTCCAATTCCTTACACAGCTCCTTCCATTTGGCTCTCTTTGTTCTATTTATATTCTTTTTCAACTCTTTCCTCATTATTTTTAGTTCGTTTTCTTTCTCTTCTATATTTCTTTCGTTCTTTTTTTTGCTTCTGGCTATTTGCCTCCTGAGGGAATATGATCTGTTTTCGCAGGTTCTCTATCTCCCCGTTCCACCAGTAGGGTAAGCTTCTCTCCCTGATCAAGCTGGTTGTGGTTTTCTTTGTCGTTTCTTTTGCTAGTTTTGCGAGTTCTTCCACTGATTTACATTCATCTGCTTTCTCCTTTATAGTACTTATAATTTTTTTCTTATCTAGTAAGTTTTTTTGGTAGGTCACCGACTTCGTATTTTTGTTCTCTACTTCAAAATAAATGACTTTATGATATGAGGCTACTTCGTCTTCCAGTGTTTTCCAGTTCTTTATTTTTTTAGTGATCTTATTTGTAGCGCATGTCACGTCTATGTGTGTTTCGGACGTATTTCTTATAAATATGGGAGAGCCATCATTGCACACTATCATATCCTGCTGCGCCATACATTCGGTCCAGTAGTCCCCTCTCCGGTCTGTTTGTGGGGCTCCCCATTGTGGTGATTTTGCATTTAGATCTCCTAGGACTATTGCTTCTTTCTTTTTCTGTTTGATTTTGTTTATCATCTCATCTGCTGTTTTTTTGAAATCTTCGAATGGCTTGTTAGGGGAGAGGTAACATCCTAATATAATGAACTTGTGGAATTCCAGTATTATCCAGCCTTTTTTGTCTTCTATTTTGAGTATCCCACAATTTGGGTTTTTTATATACACCGCCACATCTTGTCTTTTGTCACATGCCCATCCCTGTTTTTTCGCGATATTCTTGTTTGGTTCCGCAACAAATAACAGATCTGCCCCTCTCTCACACGCCATCGCGTAAGCGAGGTCGTGGGAAAGTTTTCCTCTTCCTAAGTTTGTTTGAAGGATTTTGAACATCATGCGTATATAAAATAAAAAGATGTATCTTTATATGAAAGTATGTGTACTTCTGTCCTTCTGAAGCAAGTTTAGTATTTTTTGGAGGGGCGAACCCCCCATCATCTTATAAAATGTGAATTCACCTTCCTGATCTCCTGGCGGAGTGCTCTCTGGTATCTGGGACACCTGTTGCTTGTATGGCCTTGTTCTTCACATGTCCAACAGTACGGAATGTGGTTTTCACAATCTCGCATGTAGTGGCCTTCTTCTCCGCATTTTTTACATCTATCACTCCTATCTGGACCCTTGCAATTCAAGGCCTTGTGACCTATTCCCCAACACTTGTAACATTTCTCAAAGGCAATCCTCTCTCTGACCCTACAGCTGGTCCATCCTACTTTTACATGACCTTCTCTTAGAATTTTTTGGGCCTTTTCTTCATCTACTAATATCAATGCTGTTTGTCTGCCTCCTATTGTTTCTCTGAGCGACTTTACCTCTATTTCTCCTCCTTCTATTATTTCTTCAATGGCCGTTTTTACGTCCTCTTGGGTTGTGATGGCGTCTAAGTCTTGTATATAGAGAGGTATCCTTGTATACCCTGCTTTCTTGATGTTTTCTCCGTCCAGTTTCTTTGTCATTAGATCTTTTAGGTTCTCTAGAGTCTAGATCCTCTTTTTCTTTAGCGTAATCAGTAGGTCTCCGTGTCGTGTTTTCTTTAGGTCTCTGACCCTATTTCCTATCTCTTCTGTACTTATTTTGCTCCTAACATTTTTTAATAGTTCGGCGTATGTTTTCCCTTTTGCCTGGACTATCAGGGCTTGAGTGTCGAAGGTTTTTTTTTATTTTTCTTTCTGCTACTATCCATCCTTCTGTATTATTCTGACTCCTTCTTCCCATGTCGTAAATTTCCAGGTTTATGTCGGTGCCTGCGAAAACTATTTCTACTATTTTTCTGGTCTTCTCTGTTAGAAGTTTTCCGTCGCTTATTAACCTTATTTTTATTATTTCTTTCTTTTCCATAACCTCCTTAAGTTTATGGCACCCTTTTAACATTGCTCTATCCGCTCCTTCTGAGGTATCTCCCCCAATAAAAATTATGTTTCTTTCATTGGTAATGTTGGATCTTCCTTCCATGAGTTCAAACGCTCCCTGTTTCCTAAGGCATGCCGCATTTCCTCTTGTGACCATTTTCTCGTTTATGATCTTAGCGATTTCTTCATTTTCTATGATTTTTAGGTCATGCCTTTCCGCTTCTGGGTGGTATATGATTGCCAGGTCCCTGTCTTCTGCCGGGCTTATGGGGTTTCCCATTATTATCGTGGTGTTTTTGTATACTTCCCTGTTCCAGTTTCTATTTACTACCTCCTCCATTTCTTCCAGACTACTGGTTTTATTGTTTATTTCCGTCATTAGACTCTCCCTATTCTGGATCGACCCTTTCTCTTCTTCTGTTTCGGTCTGCGTTCCAACGGTTACCATTTTGGTGTCATTTGTCTCTTTTTTGTTTTCGATTTCTATATTCACTTGAGTGCCTGTTTCCGTGGTGGATTTTTTCACCCCGCTCCTAATTGTGATCGCCCTCTTTTTCGTTTTAATCGTTTTGTTCCATGTGTTAAATTTCGAACTGGCTAGGTCGATTTCTTTTTTAAGTTTACTAATAGCGTGCTTTATTTCCACTTTTGTATTTTTCCCGACCAGTTTGGCCAAGTTTTGAGACGTTCTCGTGACCTTGTCGATAATTTCCTTAATTTCTGCAATTTCCTGCTCATCTGTTTTCTCGTCGCTGTCCTTCCTCCGTCTCTTGCTTCTTTCTCTCTCCAACGGTTTTGCTTGCATTTCTTTTTCTTTTGTATTAAATACGGTATCGTCATCTATATCGTCCAGCGCCACCCCGGATATATTGTATATATCGCTTTCTAAAGGGTCCTCGTCTTGCCATTGATCATCTTGGTTTTCGTCCTGGTCTTTATCATACTCCCATTCCTTATCATCCGTTCCAAGTGGTGTGTAGTAATTTTCGGGTCTTTCCGTGTTCATTCTGCCTTCGTTTTTTGGAGTGTTTGGTGTCCCTTCCTGCTTTCCCAAGCTTACCGGCAATTTTATTACGCCAAACGGGTTTTTGGGATGTGTTAAAGATGTCTTTTGGTGTCTCTCTGGTGGCGTCCTATTCAGTGACGTACGTCTCACTGATAGGTCGACTTCATTTTCCCAGTTGTATCCCTCAGTTCCTCTTCTTGTTCCAGTGTTTAAACCCTTATCCTCGACCTGATTCATCGATGATGTCGAGGGTGTTGGTTGTGATTTTATATGTTTGTCCATGTGTAATCCCACGAGTTGGGCCGAAATTTGGGTCCGTCGTGGCAGTGCGCCCTTACCACGCTAAGGCCTTCCATCGGTATTACCTCCGGCTACCCTGCACGCCCTCGCCATGGCACCAGGGGGCTGCTCGCGACCCTCTCCGGGGGGCCATGCATCCCTCGTCGCAGTTCTCAGACTTAGATTCCGTGTGCCAATTTTGGTTCGCGCCGGTTATTTGATTTGGCCGGTACCACCCATATCTGAAAAGCATTCCCCTATCCACCACCTGGGGACGCGCTGGATGGGAGATTGGCAACTCCACACCAGAACCTAACCTAACCTAACCTAACCTAACCTAACCTAACCTAACCTAACCTAACCTAACCTAACCTAACCTAACCTAACCTAACCTAACCTAACCTAACCTAACCTAACCTAACCTAACCTAACCTAACCTAACCTAACCTAACCTAACCTAACCTAACCTAACCTAACCTAACCTAACCTAACCTAACCTAACCTAACCTAACCTAACCTAACCTAACCTAACCTAACCGAACCTAACCTAACCTAACCTAACCTAACCTAACCTTTTTTTTTTTTTGACGGGTGGAAACGCGTTTACGCGCACCAGGTACAGGTTCCTCCCTTCCCCGATAGTGTAGGACTCCTTATACCCACTAAAACCACCCCAATCCCTATGGTACGGGAGTGTCGTTGCAGACATTACGTCAGACCACAGGATTTTCTTTCACTTCTATGGTCATCTTTGTAAATTCCTCTCTTCCTCCGCTTTCTTTCCTATTATCTCCTTTATAAATTTATCCCCTGCCTCCCAGTTTTCCTTTCTTAATAGCATCCACTTTATCAAACTTCGCGTACTAAGTACTTCCTCCATCCTTGCTATCACCTTTTGTCTCTGTGCGTGCCACCTAACACATGACGAAATTGTGTGGTCCGGATCATCCCTCTCGCCGCAGTACATACAGTTCTCTGACTCCTTCTTTTTGATTTTGTAGACATATGTCCCGAAGCTACCATGCCCGGACAAGACTTGTGTCAGATGGTATCCCGTTTTCCTGTGTGGGCAACCCAGCCAGGTATTTAAATCCGGAATTATTTCTTTTGTCCACTGTGCTATATTGGTCACCCCATTCCATCTTATCTGCCACTTTTCAATGGTTTCCCTCCTAGCCGTAATTCTGTCAACCTCCAACCCTCCGTCCATTTGGGATAGCCTGCACCTCTCATCTATCATCAGGTCTATTGGGGGGATTCCTGATATTACGGCTATCGCCTCAGCCGACACCGTTCGGTATGCGCACGAGACTCTGATCAGCATCCTCCTCTGTGTTGCTATTAGCATGTTTCTATATTTCTTTATGCGAGTTACGCCTCCCCACACTGATGCTGCATAGAACAGAACAGAAGCTACAACTCCATGCAGTATTCTCCTAGCATAATACCCCGGGCCTCTTATGTTTGGCAAGATCCTGGTCAACGCGGCGACCTGCCTGTTTGCCTTCTCACAGGTCTTACGTACATGTTCATTAAAGATCAACTTGTCATCTACGTAGACTCCAAGGTATTTGACAGCTTTCTTGGGCCTGATCTCGGTTTCACCAATTGAGAAAACAACTCTCTCCCTGTTTCTAGAACCCCTTACTACAAGTGCCTCCGTTTTTTCTGGGGCCAGCTCCAGACCTTTGCTCTCCATCCAGTACGCAATCTGCCACAGCGCCATGTTTGCTTCGAACATTAGTTCGTCTTCATCGTTCGCGTTTATAACTATCGCTAAGTCATCTGTGTAGGCCACCTTGCTGCAGTTTCTTGCCATGTCTAACTCCAGAACTCCATTGTACAAGACATTCCACAGAAGCGGCCCAAGGACTGAGCCCTGTGGGACTCCTTGTGATACAGTTAATTCCTTTTTGCCAACCAATATGGTTCTGCCAGAAAAATAGTTCGTCACTATCTTTATTAGGTATCGGCTAATTCGCATACCCTCCAGAGTCTTCACAATCTGGCTCCATTTGGCCGTGTTAAAAGCGTTTCTCACGTCTAGGAACACAACCGCACTCCATTTGCCTCTGTTGGCAAGCTGTATCATTTTTTCCACCGCTTCCACTGTGGACTTTCCCTTTCGAAAGCCGAACTGATTTTCCGATAGAGCCTGTCGCTCCTGTAGCTCCTTTTCGAGTCTCAACTTTACCACGTGCTCAAACAGTTTAGCTGCTGCGTCTATCAAGCAGATTGGTCTGTATTTCGCGGCCTCAGGGTCCCCTTTTGGTATTAGACATACCCTTGCTCTCTTCCACGCCGTTGGTAGCTCCATGTTTCTAAGGACCTCGTTTAGCATCGACAGTATTACCTCGGGAACCTCCTCAACTGCTAGCTTGATACTTTCGACCAGTATTCCGTCTGGCCCTGGTGCCTTTCCGGTCTTCAATTTTCCCGTTACTTCACGCAGTTCCTCTACCGTTACTCCGGGTGGTTCCTCAGTATGGATTATCCCTGTTAGCAGCCTGTCATTCGCCGGTGGAAACAGTTTTTTCACTATCTCCACTCTTCTCTCTTCGGAGATCTCGTACGGCGATAGCATGTTTCTGCATTTATTGGTGACAATCCTGTATCCTTGTCCAAAGGGGTCTTCTTCGAGCTCGTTGCACAATTCTTTCCAGCAATTAGTCTTTGATCTCTGGATGAGTCTCCTGAGCTCCTTTCTACATCCTTTGTAGTCTGTCTCCGCTTGTTCGATATCCTCCGGGGGTCCTCCGTTTCCTCTCAGTCTGCTTACCTTTCTTCTAGTTTTCAAGCATCTACACCTTAATTCCCCTATCTCCTCGGTCCACCATACCGGCATTTGTCTAAGGTAGCTGTTTTTTTTCTGCTTGAGCTGGCTTTTTGGGCGGCCTTAATTTTATCTACAGTCGCCTGCACGGGCGCGCCTGGTCTGGCTGTTAGTTTAACCATGTTCCTAAATTTATCCTTGTCCAAGACAGTCTTTCCACCCCACTGGTTCTTCATAGGCTCTTTGACGAGGTCAATTTCGATAACGATGTATCTATTCAAGCTTAGTGTTAAGTCTTATTGTTTTAGACTTTATTTTAAAACCGGCAACGCCGCACACATATGGCATATTCTTTGCGCCTTGTTCTAAAAGGCATAGGGTACTTAAGATTGTGTAAAAATTGGAGCGAAGGGTGCAACGTTGACCGGCAAAAGGTTCAGTGTGTTAGTTTTGTATTTTTTCTATTACATTAAATTCGTATAAAAACCATAAAGCAGTTTTTTTTGGGTTATTAAAAGTGCAATCAAACATTGGTCTATTCGAGCCGGA